CCCTAAACCACCTACGCCCTAAAGGGCAGGTGGGACTTTGAAGGTCGGCAGCTCATCTAGTTACTAGTTTCGGTCGTGCTCACGCCGCGAGCTTTCCATGTGCAGCGCGGGGCCAGCCCCTTTCAGCAGGCGCCCGGGCCTGGTGCTGCAAAACTGAAGTGCGCTCTTGCTCGGCCCCCCTTGCCTGCCCTGACTCGGCAGATTGGCCATGACAGCTCGTTGGACCTCGCGCCCACAAAACGCTCCGCAACTTGCCCTGGAGGCGCCGTTGCCCGTTGCCGCCTTCCCCCCCCGGCCCCTCCCTCCTGGTCGGGCGGGCGAGAAGGCTTTCGCTCCAGGGGTCTTCGCGGGAAAAGCGGAGCCCTTCTCCTTCTCTCCGATTTTATTATGGGGGGGCCCTTGCGCAAGAGGAGGGAAAGGGGGAGGGGGAGGTAGAGGAGGGGATGCAGGGAAGAAGAGGGATGCTACTACATTCAGGAGGGTGCACCTCGGGCATTTGTTGCGTCTTTTTCAGAGAGAATGGGGAACGGGATGAGGGGGGGGAAGGGGGGGAGGAGGACGAGGACGAGGACGAGGAGGAGGAAGTGCGAACATGTAGCCCCCCCCCACGCCTGCAGAGGTATATGTAGTAGGGCGGCTTGCCACATTTCGGCCAGTTTTTTTTGTTTGCCAATCCTTCTCAAAGGTTTGCAGGAGGAGGAGGAGGAGGAGGAGGGCGAGGAGGAGGAGGAAGAGGAGGAGGAGGAGGAGGAGGAGAGGAGGAGGAGAGGAGGAGGAGGACGGAGGAGGAGGAGGGAGGAGGGAGGAGGGAGGAGGGAGGAGGGAGGAGGGAGGAGGGAGGAGGAGGAGGAAGAGGAAAAGGACAAAAAGGCGGATGAGGAGGAGGAGAGGAGGAGGAGGAGGAGGAGGAGGAGGAGGAGGAGGAGGAGGAGGAGGAATGAGGGTGAGGGCGAAGGGGGCACTCGGGGGGCTCCTGCTAACAGTTTGGGTTTGTCCGAAAGCCCCAAAAGTTCCTCGAGAGGTCGATGGCGCCTCGAACTAGGAAGCGTCTTTGTGGCCTCTATCAGCTCTTCGCTCGTCCTCGCACTCCCTCATCCTCATCCTGGGGCAGGCTCGACATACATCAGGGCGGCGGCGCCGCCGGCCCGGGCGTTCAAGGTTGAGTGTTCCCAAGGATCTTGCCCAAGCCTCCAGGGACCTGTCGAGACTCCGATGCGAAACGAGGGATCTGTCGAGCGAAGGTATGGCTGCCATACCATCTGCCTCCGCTATGACACGCTATGATGAGATGGCCTGCCATACTATGGCAGGGGCCCTGCCGCAGGGCAGGGGTGGGGGAGCCACCGGGATCAAGTGCGAGCAGCTGCAGCTCACCCCTGGGCCCCTGGGCAGATCCGCCTGCTATTCGACGATGCCGAAACAAAGGGGCCGCGGCGGCGGCCGCGGCGAGGGCGGGCGAGGCCGGCAACCGGCTGGCGGCCGCGGAGGGCGCGACAGCGGCCGCGGCCGCAGCCCGGGCGGCCGCGGCCGCAGCCGCGGCCGCGGCCGCGCGAGGGGCCGGGGCGCGAGTGCTGCTGATCCAGGTCCCAGGGCGTGTTAATAGGTCATGCTAGTAAAATCTTTGTGGGCGTGCCAGGGCGCCAGGGCCGTTTCTGTTATTTGGCAGTTGTTTCCCACATTTTGAGCTGGGGAAGGAGGAGGAGGAGGAGGAGGAGGAGGAGGAAGAAGAGGACGAGGAGGAGGAGGAGGAGGAGGAGGAGGAGGAGGAGGAGCAGCAGCAGGTGGAGGAGGACGGAGAAGAGGAGGAGTAGAAGGATGAGGCCTCTTGGGGGCCTCTAGGGGCACTCTCAGGGCCTCCTGGGGGGGTCCTGGGGGCTTCTTGGAGGCCTCTCGGAGCCTCCTTGGGCCTCTTGGGTGCCTTCAGGGGCTTCTTGCGGGCTTATTTGGCAGTCATAGGGCGTTCCTGGCCCGTCTGATGGATGACCTCTTGGAAGCTTCTTGGGCCGTCTTGGAGGCCTCTTGGGCGCCTCTTGGGCCGTCTTGGGCTTCCTTGGGGGCTTGTTGGGCGCGCTTGGAGACATCGTGGACCCTCTCGGGCCGTCTTCGAGGCCATCTCGGACGATCTTGGGCGAACTTGGAGGCCATCAGGGCCGTCTTGGAGGCAACCTTGGTCGTCTTGGAGGCGATCTGGGCCACGAGGGGTGATTTTTCGGCGACGTTCCGGGTGGCAGGCGGCTTGGGCCGAAACCCCAGGGGGAGTGCTTCTGGAAATGGAACCAAAACCAACCCGTAAGAAATTTAACACGCCAGGCCCCCCTGACATAAATCAACAGGGGGCGGCGGATCTGGTGGCATTCGGCCAATCCCGCCACCGTGCCTTCTTGGTTGTGGATTAGAGGCCCCTTGGATGTTCGTTGGGATATCGATGGAGGCCTCTCGGGGGTCTCTTGGAGGTAGTTCTGAGGCCTCCTGAGGGTTGGTTGGGGGCCTCTTTTGGGCTTCTTGGGAGCCTCGTGGGGCCTCTTGGGCGCCTCCTGGGGCCTGTTAGTGGCCTCTTGGGGCCTCCTGGGGCCTTTTCGGGGCGGAAGGTTCAAATTGTCGGTTCGTGTTCCCCCTCTTGGGCCACTCTTGGGGCCGTCTTAGGCGCCTCTTGGGCCGTCTTGGGGTCTTGGGGCTCCCTTGGGGGCCTTTTGGGCCGTCTTGGGCTGGTCTTGGGGGCGTCTGGGGCCATCTTGGAGCTTCGGAAGCCCGATAATTTGAAAACACACAGAAAATCGATGCATCTTGGGGCCCTCCTGGGGGTCCTCTCAGACCACTCCTACGTAGGGTTTCTTTGAGGCCTCTTGAGCCGTATTGAGGCCATCCTGGGCGTCTTGGAGGCCTCCTGGACTCTCTTGGGCGTTTCTTGCGGCCCTCTTGGCCGGTTTTGGAACCCTCTGGCCCTGGAAAGAACACGTGGTGCAGCCCGGCAGCACCCCAGAGCGCCCCGGGAAATTTGATATCTGGGGCCCCAGCCCCTAGAACCTAGAATACTAGAATCCACCACTCTTAAGCACAGAGAACAGGAATCTCTTGAACACCTGGGGGTAGGGTAGCCCCACCTTGTACCTCGAGGCACGGTGGCGGATGATTATTCGAATTGCGCCTCCGCTTTCATCACTCACCCGCCTCTCTCCTCCCTTTCCGTTATCATTTTCACGCTCGATTCCGTTCGCACTCAGGCCCACTCACATTCGTAGTACTCACACCCAAACTTTACATATATGTCCACTCATACTCGGACTCATTCATACTCATGCCATTCGCACTCGTGGCAATTCATACCCAAACCCACTCCCACTCAGACCCATTCGCACTCAGATTCATTCGCGCCCATACACGCCCACAGTCGGTTTAGCGCGGGGGGGTTCGCTTGGAGGCGCGCGAGCCTCCTACGTATTGTGCCGCCTGCCGTTGGAGGTCGGTGCCGCACGCCGCCGTCGACCGCCAAGCGCCAGAGGGGTGACGAGGTCGAGGACGCGCTCGCCGTTGCAATGGCCGGCGACGAGGAAGAGGGCGAGGAGGAGGAGGAAGAGCAGGAAGAGCAGGAGGAGCCGGACGACGTCGACGGCGAGGCCAGCGACGCGCAGGACATTCTCGAGTGCATGTTGTGCTTGTGCAAAGCTCGGGACCGAAGTGGTGCCGGACAATCTGATTGTACATGTATGGCCTTTGTTGCCAGCTAGCGATTTAATTCTATCTGTTCGCTCATTCCACCGGTTTGGCCTGTAGGGCCTGTAGTGTGTAATGGCTTTTGGCCAGACTGTGGTTTGGACAAAAGGCTTTTTTGGGAAGCTTCTGGGGGCGTCGGGGAGGCTTCTCAGGGGCCTCGTGGCGGCATGTTTAGGTTAGGGCCTCGTAGGTTTTTTTTGGGGGCCTCTTGGGGGTGTCTTGGGGGCCTTTGGTGGCCTCTTTGGGGCTTCTTCGGTGTTTGCTGGTGAAATCGGGGGCCGTGTTCGGAGGAAAGGCTCCGAATGGCAGGTCGGGCTCCCCGCTTGGATTCCTCTTGGGGGCATTTTGAGCCTCTTCGGGGGGCATTTTGGGTCGTATTGGGGCCGTTTTGGGCCATCTTTCTTGTGGCCCTTCGGATGCCCTCCAGGGATGTTTTGGGGCGATATATGGGGCCCCCCTGCCGTCCTTGGCGGTCGGAAGCACGAAAGGCGATAGCGCGAAAATCTGTCAGAAACCTCAGGGCAACAGCCCGTCGGGGCCCCTTGGGTGTCCTCTTGGGATTGTCCTGACGCGTTTCGAGGTTCCTCGGGCCGTCCAGGGATTATCTTGGGCGTGTCTGACCGCCCCCGGGCCGTCTCGGACCATATGGGCCTTTGTTTGGGGGCCCTCTGGAGCTTTCCTGGACCGCTTTGTGGGGGCCGCCGTGCGTTCGCAAAATACACACGTTCTTACACCTCATACCGGGGATTTGAAGACGCCCCTTGGCCGTTGGGCCGGCGAGTCGGCAGTGTGCGGCCTGCCGGAAACGGATGTGATTTTTCACGGTGGTTGACCGATTGGATATTCAAGTTGATGTGTGTTTCTATTTGTTCTACAGGTGCCACATGTCCCACAAATGTCGCATGTCCCAGAGGTCCCGCAGGTCCCAAAGGGCCCACAGGTCCCACAGGTCCCACCAGTCTCGCAGGTGTCGCAGGTTTTGCAGGTCCCACAGGTCTCACGGGCCCCACAGGTTCCACATGTCCCACAGGCCCCGCGGGTCCCACAGGACCCACAAGTCCAACAGGTCTTTCAGATCCCACAGGTGTCGCCCACATGTCTCGCAGGTCCCGCGGGTCCCACAGGATCCCCAGGTTCCACAGGTCCCACGGGTCCCACCTTCATCGTAGCACCTTCGTCATCGTGTTTACCGACAGATATCGTGATGGATTCGCCCCTCCGGTCTCCTCACCCCTCCCGCACCCCCGCTTGATTGCCCGCGTTTTTTTTCGGCCGGCGCCGCCCGCGAGGATAAGGAGTGGGCGGTCTACGTTGAGGAGATCGTGGAGGGCAAGCTCGAGCTGGTTGCCAAGGGCCCGGCGTGCAAGGAGTGCCAGAAGCTCCACGCCGCGTTCCCGTTGCAGGGCGCGACGTTCCACAATTTCGTGCAGATGTACAAGGAGTCGGCGCTGCTGAAGAAGCGCGTCGAGAAGGCCAGAGGCGTGCTCCAGAAGGGTGAGGATCTGGAGGTGGCGATCCCAGGGGCCGTCAACTCCTCCACCACTTCTGGGCAGACTATGGAGGCGGTGTTCTTGGTGTTCAGCACAACGGAGTTTCTGCAGCACTTCCAGGTGGAGGCTGCCGACGTCGGCCTCAAGGCCGTCCCGGTCGTGAATGAGGAGAACGAGCAGGAAGATGTGATCTTGCTCAGGGACGACTCGGCGCCTCGCCGGCTACGCGTGTTCACCGCAACTTGCACCAAACACGAGCAGGACATGCTCGGCCAGGTTATTCGCAAGGACCAGGACAAGGACGTTCACAAATGGTTGCTCGCTCTTGACACTGGTGGGCGAGACAGGTGCCTTCGCCCCGAGGGGCGCATGCAGGTCAAGACGATGAGCTTCGTGGACCGCGAGTGCAAGGCTGTAGTGGCCAAGCGGACAGCTGACGGCGTCATCGACAGCGTGCGGGAGCACAAGGGCATTGGCAAGGCTGCCGACGGCGAGGAAGAGGCCGGCGGGTCGCCCAAACCCGACACTCTACACCCGAGCTGTCGCCAACCTAATTGTTATCAGGTTGTTCTGGGCTGCGGGGGGCGGGGCCGTTCCGAGAGCGCGCCCGCGTATGCGGCGCGATTCTTCCACCCTTGCCACTTTTCGTCCTCGTCCTCGTACTCGTCGTCCTCGTCGTCATCATTCTCGTCCTTGTCGTTCGGCGTCGTCGTCCTCATCCCTTGCCTTGTTAACAAATCGCCCCCCCATGGTAACAAATCAACCCCCCCCCAAGTTAATCAGTCGCCCCCCCCCATCGCGGCGGGTCGCAGCGGAGACCCCCATGTTAACAAATCGTCCCCCCCCCTCCCCGCCGCCCATCCTCGTCGAAACGCGACCGCTCGCATTCGGTTTGTGGGTCAAGGATCAAGGACATGTCAGGTGCCTGGGGTGCGGGTCAGGACATGGGGACCTCAGGGCTGCCGCCTTTGCTGGGTTCTGCGTCGTTGTCGTCGCTGCCGCCGCCGCAGCCGCCGCCGCCGCCGTCGCCGGCGCCGTCGCCGATGCCGTCGCCGCCGCCGCCGCCGCCGCCGTCGCCGTCGCCGTCGCCGTCGCCGTCGCCGTCGCCGTCGCCGTCGCCGTCGCCGTCGCCGTCGCCGTCGCCGTCGCCGTCGCCGTCGCCGTCGCCGTCGTCGTCGTCGTCGTCGTCGTCGTCGTCGTCGTCGTCGTCGTCGTCGTCGTCGTCGCGGTCGCCCCTCCCAGGCTGCTGGAGGGGGGTCGCTGCCGAGCTTCTTGCAGAGCCGGGCGAACCGGCCGGCGGCGGCGCCCGCAGCGTCGCAGGCGAGGCGCCGTGCGCCCAGTTCAATGGGGGCTCCAGCGGCGCCTCCGGCCAGGCGGGCACGCGGTGCCATGAGTGGCTCCATGGTCGTGGACGTTGGTGCGGAGGCCGCCGCTCCAGTCGTTGGTCGAGGCACTTCGGCGCGGTCCGGAATGAGCCGCGGCAGCAAGCGTGCTGCGGCCACCGGGGCCGCTGGGGCAGTTGGGCCCGATGAGTGGGATCCGGCGGCCCTTGACGTCCTCAATTTTCTGGACGGCTCCTCGGACAAGCGGGCGATCGCAGGGGTCGTTGGGGCCAGGGCGCAAATTCGTTGATGCCCAAACCAATGTGGTCGACTGCTGCACTCACCCCTTCCCCCCCCGCCGAGGGGGTGAGGGGTTGTGGCGTCGATTCGGCGCGCGCTGGACGAAGGGAAACGAGGGCGGCTGCTGGCGGAAACTCGGCGGGGGCTGGCGGAAGTATTGGCGTGCCGGCCTACCCGCCGCGAGTCGGCCGCTGGGACTTCCAGAGAGGCTGCGCGCCGATTCCGCGACAGCCGCACGGCTGTTCCGAAGCAGCGCGGCTGCCACGGAGGAGGAGGAGGAGGAGGGGGATTTTTTTCACCGCAACGCTTGCAAGGCAGCAGCCAGCTGACCTGGGGAGACTCGGCCAATGTGCTGTGCTATGCCTCACGCACCGCGCAGCATGGCAGAGCAAAGGTCAAGAACACTGCACCGAGGATGGGCTGGCATCCCCCAGATTTCGCCGAAGAAGTGCAACCATCCGCTATCCCACTTTGTGGGATTGATCACTCCTGCACTCCATGCAGCTCATGACTACTGTTGCCCCTGACGCCAACATGTTCTACTGCGTTAAGAACATGTTGCAGCAATGCATGACATTAGACGCACGTTGAGGAGGAGGAGGAGGAGGAGGGAGAGGGATAGGAGGAGGTGGCCAACGTTGGCCCCCCTGCAGGCAAAGCGCCACTACGACTTGCTGGTGGCTAACAGGGAGGAGGTAGAGTCCACCAAGGTGAAGAGGAGAATGGCTGTTGCGTCGGCCGCCCTGTTCATCAAGGGCCACGCGACATGCAAGGACGGGGTTGCTTACACAGACAATTTCAAGGTCGTCATGGACAGCAGAGACTGCCCGCCGATGCCGCTCGAGTTCTGGTGCGCCCAGTTGAAGTTCAAGGCCTGGGAGTGCCTGGCAGGCGAGGATTTCGACCAGTTTGTGGACATCATTCGCCCGTGGCCCACGAAGGACCCGTCTGAGTACCAGCTGGACTACCAGAAGCCATCATTATTTGCGCTGTCGGTGTTGCGCGCCGACGGTGGAGAGAAGGACGAGAAAACGCTTGTCGAGCTCCTCGGCAAGACCTTCTTCTGCGACGAATTTGAGAGGATGCTCAAGAGCCCTGACACCAGTGCGGCCGAGAACCTGTCCAGGGCCATCAACATCGACTTGCGGCGCCGCTCATCCGGCCTGGCCGACGGGAAGGAGTCCTTGATTCATGTCATGAATGATATCCACACCGCATGCCTTTGCGTGCTAGGTCTCTGCGTGCCAAGGCCCACTACCGGAGCGTACGCAGCTGCGAAGACCATGCTGGCGCCAGAGCTCAAGTCCTCCCTGGGCAGCGACTGCGCTAACGTTGCGGAGACCCTGAAGGAGTCGGAAGTGTGGGGCAAGCTTGCCGATAAGTACTGGTCGCAGTCGCCCGTCGATGACAAAGTCGCCGCGGACTACGACACTCTGATGGACAAGCTGGGCGCCGACGGGGAGTCAGACGTCGCTGAGTGGCTGGAGAAGGCCACGACTGTAATCCCAGATTGGCGCAAGAAACTCCGCCCCAAGGGAACGCATGAGCTCGAGGAACTCGCTCGCTCTGTCTGCCGTGATCGCTCCGCCAAGCTCCTGCAGCAGGAGGCGGCCACCGACGCAGGCGAGCGGGGGAACAATTGCGAGTTGGCGGAGCTGCTCTTGAAGTGCTACGGGGCTTTGGAGGAGGCTTCGGGCAACAACAAGGCGGACAGTGGCTTTCGGCGCGACCTCAGGAGCCTGGTGCAGGAGTCGAAGAAGATTCATCACGCTTCGCCTATCCCGCCGTATCCCCACCAGCCCATCCCAAAAAAGTATCCAGGCGAGTTGCCTTGATCAGGGATGCGTAGCGGCTACGCATCCCTGATCGAATCAAGGCTACGCATCAGGGATGCGTAGCGGCTGCGGCGCTGGATGTGGCTACGCCGACGCCGTAGCCACGTCCAGCGCAGCAGTGAATCGCACCCGTCCTCGCATATGCCTTCGAATGAAGGCTATCGGCTATTAGGAGGACGAGGGTGATGATGATGATGATGATGAGGAGGAGGAGGAGGAGGAGGAGGAGGAGGAGGGGGAGGAGGAGGAGGAGGAGGAGGAGGAGGAGTAGGATGAGGAGGAGGAGTAGGAGGAGGAGGAGGAGGAGGAGGAGGAGGAGGAGGAAGGGGGGGGGGGAGGAGGAGGAGGAGGAGGAAGAGGCGGGAGCAGAGGGAATAGGAGAGGGAGGATCGACGACGGCGGCGAGGACGACGACGACGACGACCGGAGTTGATATCAAAATCTTTCCGGTGGGTCGTTCCGGCAGCGTTTTGGAGGCTTCTTGGGGCCAGCGTGGGGCCCTCTTGGGGGGTACTTTGCAGGCTAAGACCAAGAGACGCTCTGCCACCGCCGTCGCCACCACCACCACCACACCACACACGCACCACCGCCGCAGCCACCACCACCACCACCACCACCACCCACGACCACCCACACACACCACACACCACACACCACACACGCACCACCACCCCCACCACCACCACCACCACCACCACCACACAACACACACACACCACCACCACCACCACCACCACCACCACCACCACACCACCGCCACCACCACCACAACCACCACCACCACCACCACCACCGCCACCACCACCACCATAACACACCACACACACACACCACCACCACCACCACTACCACACCACGCACACCACCACCACCACCGCCACCACCATCACCACCCAAAAGCCGAAGGTAATTCCCAATGTAAAAAAGCCGACACGTAATTCACAAAGCTGGATTTGATTTTTCTTGAGCCCTTTGAGGAGGCAGAAGGGCGGTGGGTCACCCGCCCCGCGCGTGCGCGGCGGCGCAGTTTTGCATTGTTCACAATACAAAAGCCGACATGTAATTCCCAAAACTGAACTTGAATTTTTTTGAGCCCTTTACGGAGGCCGAAGGACGGTGGGTCACCCGCCGCGCGCGCGCGGCGGCGCAGTTCTGCATTGTTCACAATACAAAAGCCGACATGTAATTCCCCAAACTGGATTTGCTGTTTTCTCGAGCCCTTTAAGGAGGCCGAAGGGCGGTGGGTCACCCGCCGCGCGCGCGCGCGGCGGCGCAGTTCTGCATTGTTCACAATGCAAAAGCTGACATGTAATTCCCAAAACTGGATTTGGGTTTTTCTGGAGCCCTTTAAGGAGGCCGAAGGACGGTGGGTCACCCGCCGCGCGCGCGCGGCGGCGCAGGCCGACATGTAATTCCCAAAACTGGATTTGCATTTTTCTGGAGTTCTTTAAGGGGGCCGAAGGGCGGTGGGTCACCCGCCGCGCGCGCGCGTGGCGCAGTTCTGCATTGCTCACAATCCCAAAGCCGACATGTAGTTCCCCAAACTAGATTTGCATGTTTCTGGAGCCCTTTAAGGAGGCCGAAGGACGGTGGGTCACCCGCCGCGCGCGCGCGGCGGCGCAGTTCTGCATTGCTCACAATCCAAAAGCCGACATGTAGTTCCCCAAACTAGATTTGATTTTTTCTGGAGCCCTTTAAGGAGGCCGAAAGGGCGGTGGGTCACCCGCCGCGCGCGCGCGATGCGGCGCAGTTCTGCATTGTTCACAATACAAATGCCGACATGTGATTCCCAAAACTGGATTTGAGTTTTTTTTCTGGAGCCCTTTAAGGGGGCCGAGGGCGGTGGGTTACCCGCCGCGCGCGCGCGCGGCGGCGCAGTTCTGCATTGTTCACAAAACAAAAGCCGGCATGTAATTCACAAAACTGAATTTGAATTTTTCTGGTGCCCTTTCAGGAGGCCGAAGGACGCTGGGTCACCCGCCGCGCGATTTGGCGCGCGGCGGCTGCAGTCAGCATGTACACTACAAAAGCGACGTGTAGTCCCCAGATTGG